GTCATGCAATTGGAGAATGATCCCAAGCACACCAGCAAATCTACAACAGAATGGCTGAAAAGGAAAAGAATCAAGGTGTTGCAATGGCCTAGTCGAAGGCCAGACCTCAACCCAACTGAAATGCTGTGGCAGGACCTCAAGAAAGCTGTGCATAAACAAATGATGCCCGCAAACCTCAATGAACTGAAGCAAGGTTGTAAAGAAGAGCGGGCCAAAATTCCTCAACAATGATGTGAGAGACTGATAAAGTCATACAGAAAACGATTGCTTCAAGTTATTGCTGCTAAAGGTGGTTCTACAAGCTACTGAATCTAAGGTGTACTTAGTTTTTCACACATGGCTTCTCAACTTTGGCTTTCTTTTTGTAAAACAAATGACATGGTGTAACATGTCATGTGTTGTTGTTCACCTGAGGTTGTATTTACCTACTTTTGAGAACTGCTAAGGACCAGATGATTTTTAGTATGTCCTGATACATAAAGCCATAGAACTCAAAGAGGGCACACTTTCTTTTTCACATGACTGTAGGTAGCAAAGAACAAGAATGTCAGATATTCAAATTCTCTGGTCCATAGTTCATAAATCCTGGTGGTATCTATGTTAACTTTTGTTGAAGACATGTATGTTTAAATTCCACTGGATGGATTCCATCAAATAAGAAAACACCTCAAGTACGCCAAGCATCTGGCCCACACAGAACCGTCAAAGCATGCTTAAGTTGAAGATACTGCCACAGTTGTGAACTACAAGACCACCAAATCCAGTATGAAGCCAAGAAGAATCCTTGAAATAATAATTACATATTAATTGATTTAAAGTAACTAGTCTGGCTTCTGCCCATACCTTCCAACTGAACATTTCCCCCCTATTTTTAAAGTAGAAATTTCCAAAGCATTAAGTACTCATGAGCTTCAGTATCAAAACCCAAACTGTGCCCCAACAGAACCTAAAGACTTCTTTCAGCACACACTCCTGGAAAAACAACACCTTTTCTACTGTATGTTGATCCAAGAACTTCTCAGGACCTTAGTAGAGATAAAAACAGACTAGAAAACCATTTGAGAGGATGTCTATGGCTACTGTATTACCAAAGAAAATGGCTGTATATATGAAGATTAAAGGTGCAATGTTTTATCCCTTGACAGGAAAGCAAGCCCTTTGAACTAAGTAGCTATTACTTCAGTGGACTTATGCAGAAGATTGTGTTGTAAAAGCAGCACTGATATATTATTTCCTTCTGTGTGGAATTTACATCCTACTATTTTTTTAAAACACACACAAACCAGTTATTGTTTTAGCCTTGTTGGTCTCAAGACAACAAAGAACACTATTTCAATCATACAACTTAAAAAAGTATGAGGCCGGTAAATAATGTATCAAGGAGAAATATTTCTGAAATTGATTTTTTAAAATTAAAATACAAACAAACCCTTACCAGTCTACTTGTGAACATATAGTAGCATTCTAAAGGTTATCTACTTTGTGGTACACAGAAATTTATTTTCTTTTCTTTTAAATAATGGTTATTTTTTTTCCAGTCTTGCATATATAAACATAGGATTTTTTTTTCAAACTGAAGCCTAAGGGGAGAAAAGAACTCCTACAGTTTATTGCTGAAAAACATAATTTAATTACTGTAATAACCATTGTAAGAAATACATTTTTAAGATCTAATATCAGAAAAATAGATGCTCAGTAAAATTCAATTCTGGTATGTAAAAGGAAAAAAATAATTAAAGCATAGACATAGGATTCAATCCAACTGACATAAATCCTGACCAAAACCCTGTGGAACCAATAAACAAAACTGCTCAAAATACTGTTTTCAATGGGATATTATTATGAGATGCTTTAATTGCCTTTTTAAAGCCATTATTTCTAAGTCAGAGAATGCTAAAAATTATCAAGTTAAATTTTACATTCATTTTTAATCCTTGTTTTCAAAATAGAAAGGAATATGCAGTATCAAAATATAAGATGTAAAACACTTCTAATAACAGAACTAGAAGTTACAAAGAGGCAATATGTAACATTTATTTATTCATTCATTTTTCAAATTCATACATGCTGCCCATCTCACTACAGAAGTGAAATAAATAATTGTTCAACTATGGCCAATCTTTCAAAGAGCCAGAGCCTGGATATGCAGGAATGATCCAGATTTACTGGGAGGATTATGGGAGCAGGAGGCAAAATACCATGGTGTCTGACAGAAGATGTGAGATGTTGGGTTGGCTGTTCCAGATATCAGACTGGCCTCAGATTACTGTTAGCGAATGCCAGGCCAGTTTGTAGTACAAATACAATACAAAAAACTTTAATGACCAAGTATAAAATATATACAAGGAATTTGTCTTTGGTGACGAACAGCAAGATCAACAGTGCGTTTGGATAGCAACAGAAAAATAAGACCTTGATACTCCACAACCTCAGCATGGAGGAACAAGCTCCATCCTTGTTACC